GACCTAATGTCGGGGGTTTAAATGGAGAGAAAATGTTTTGAGAATGATGTACAAATGCGCTTTACACAATAGATGTGTGTATGGATTGTGATAACAGTTGTATGAGCCCCTAATAAAACGTTTAAAAAAGAAAATAATTGTCCTAGACATTCCATGGGATGCATTTCTTTACACGATAGTCCATGTCTCTCCCCAGCCAGATTTTCCGTGGGGCGAATGGATTCACGCCGCAGACCTAGGAACCTCATTGATAGATTACCCAGGCAATGCTTTTGTAGGGACCTGGTTTTCCTTCCTGTTGGCAAACAGATCCCAGCTTGCCTAATTACACCCTGCCTGTTCTGTTCCCTGCAGTTGGTTCTGAAAACCCACCATTGACCGTCATTCGCAAGTTTGTACACCTGTTGGACCAAAGCGACTTAGATTTCCAAGAGGAGCTGGAGGTGGCACAATTAAGGGGAGAAGTGGTGACCAAGATCAGAGCCAACCAGCAGCTGGAGAAAGACCTCAACCTAATGGACATCAAGATCGGCCTCCTGGTGAAGAACAGGATTACCCTGCAGGTCAGTGGGGGTGGTGGGACTCTTGGCTCCCGGAAGAGAGGAGGCCCACAAAGAAGTCCACAACACCTGGGTTCAGTCACTGCACTCATGTTTTGATGACCCCCCAACCATAAAATGATTTTCATTGCTATTTCATCACGGTCCTTTTGCTACTGTTATGAATCGGGCAACCCCTGTGAAAGGGCCATTCACCCCCCAAAGGGGTTGCAACCCCACAGGTTGAGAACCACTGGTTTAGGCCAAAAGAACAGTTTCTACTTAACTTTATAAAGGACTTGAGACATTATCCTACGTACCGAAAAACTCCACAAAAACCAAACTGACTGCCATCGAGTCAGTGCTGACGCATAGCAACCCCTGTGGGTTTCCAAGACTGTAACTGTTTACAAGAATAGAAAACTCAGTCCTTCTCTCTTGAGCTGCTGGTGGTTTCGAACTGCCAACCATGCGGTTCGTAGCCCAAGGTGTAACCACTGCACCTCCAGGGCTCTCTATCCTATGTACCAAGCTATGGAATTATCTTACCAATTTCATGGATACTGGCAGAAGACACAAGAGTCTTGGATCAGAGACAAACTATGTTATTGTCCTACAACTTGTTTTTTAATGGCTGTGCTTTATATCCGTGTAATATAATGTGGCTTGTTACAGATTTTTAAAAAATTTAAAGAAGCGTTTCAAAAAGAATTTGTTTAGCAGCCAAGGGAGGCAAGAGATGCGCTATAGTTAACTCAGACCTTGTTTTCTTTTTCATTGTGATGTGGGCGAAAGTTGGCTGAGCAGATCCGTTTTCCACTGGACAAGGTGTGCAGGGTTTGTTTCATGAGGCAGCTTGAGTTCAACCCCCTCCATGGAAGAGGGCTGGCTCCCCAGGAGCAGACTCAGACGGCAAGCCTGAACCTTGTCCTCATCCCCAGGGCAATGGGAAACGGAGGCGGGCATGTTTGCCTTCAACCAAATGGCCCGGAGCCCCTGGTGGCAGTGGGTGGACAGGCGCCTGCAGGGTGTGCCCAACAAAGCCTGCTGCAGGCCAGCCTCCCACAGAGGGCAGATTTTTGTCCCCAAACACCGCAATAAAGTGGATACTCCAATAGAGCAAGTCGCACACTTTTTTTTTTTCCTTGTGGGGTTTCCCAATATATATGAAAGCTATCTTTACACTTAGGAGAGTGCAATAGCATGATGAAACATTTGACGTTTTGTGAGAGGTACCAACGTGTGACGCAGAGACATGAAGTGAGCACACGCTGGTGGAAAATGAATGCCTGGAGACGTGGCTCCGTGCTGGGTCGCCACAAACCTTCCATTTGTTTGAAAAATAAATAAATAAAAGATGCGGCATCTGGGACACAGTAAAGTCAGGTGCTGCCAGATAAGAGCCTGTCTGATAGACGCGCACGCCCCCACAAAGGAATCACAGCTTGGCAAGCCGGTTGTTGGCAGTTGTTGTTCTGAGGGTGCCACAGAAAGGTTGTGGGGGGAAATATGGGCTTAGAAGATACTGGGATTTTTCCAAGAACTCTTTGATGCCCGCCCTCCCTGTAGACTCCTCCTATCCAGGTTGGACTAAGAGGCTGAAAGAAGTTTTAGAAGGGATTTTGCTGCCCTAAGGGCCAGTGGGGTTTGCATGTGTGCTTGCTTGCTCTTCCTGTGTGAGACAGGACACACGCTTGAATAGTGGCTTTCAAATAGAGGTCATGTCCCGCTAGTGACTCCTGAAATCAGCTTAAAGGGTTGAGTCGCAGTTGGCCATTGTTTAAGTTAAATAGAATAGAAACTCTCACTGTATCCCAGCAGTAAGGATACGTTTTATTTCATACTGTGTGTGTGTCTTTACCTATAGTAACTACCAAACCAAACCAAACCAAACGCTGCCATCAAGTCAATTACAACCCATAACCACCCTAAAGGACTGCCATGGGGGATTCCGTGACAGTAGCTACTGGAGTAGAAAGCCCCATTTTTCTCCCATGGAGTGGCTAGTGGTTTCCAACTCCTGACCTTGTGATTAGCAGCTCAACTGTAGCCTTTGTGCTGCTCAGGGCTCCTACATGAATTACAAGAGATACAATGTATTTCTTGCTGAGGTTAACTAAAATGCTACTGTAGTGAGACCCTGGTCTCCAAGAGCTACTCTTGGTCATAGCCCTTTGAGCTCCCCAAGGGGGCGCTATAACCTGTAGTTGTCAATGTTTCTGGTTCCATGTTCTACGTTTCCATAAATAGTTAATAAAGGAGTCAATAAAATGATTTATTTATGCAAAAACAAAATAGTTAAAGGAGCTCAACCAGGATGGGGGTTTATTAATCAGGGTACATCTTCATCATTTGCAGTGAAGATCCCTTTCCCTTCCATCTTTAATTAATTTCAACATTGCATTTTTTGGCAAGAGCTTTTTAAAATTGAGCTATAACTCACACGCCGTAGAATCCATCTTTCAAACGAGTCCTACTCATTCACAAGGTCGTGTAGCCACTGCCTCCGTCACAGGCCTTGAACTTGTTATTCTCCCAAAAGGAAATGCCGGTGGGAATGTTCGAGTAGCAGACAGTAAGGTTTTCATGAAAGTTACAGAGCAAATCAGTCTTCCTCCCAACAGTTTTCGCAGAGCTCATTCCATGTGACATTAGCTGGGATCCTCTCGTTGTCACAGCACCTGTCACTCCTGGCACAACCACCTGGTGAACTGTACACTTTAAGGGGTGAATTTTATGCGATTTGAATTACATTTCAGATGGAAAAAAGAAAGAAACCCATACTCCTTAGCAGTCTCGCCCCAGCCCCTTCTACCCTTCCAACAAGCCCCTGGAAACCGCACCTTCTGGCCTGGACGGGAGCAACCTGTTTTGGCTGCTTCATGGCCATGGAATCATGCGGTCGGTGTGTGGCCTCTCGTGGCTGGCTCCTTTCACTCCATATCATGTTTTCAAGATGCACCCCTCTTGCAACACGCATTCGTTTTTATGGCTGAATAATGTCCCATTGTACGGATAGACCATGTTTTGTTTATATGTTCCTGAGCTGATGCACATGTAGCCTGTAAGATATTGTTATATGTTCTGGACATGGGCCCTTATCAGATGTATGCTGTATAAAATCCATCTGAAGGCAGATTTCTTAAGGAGTGGCGGAGCTATGAGTGCAAATCACCTGAATGACAACAACTCAGGGTCACGGGGCTTGATACCTAATACCTTCGTTCACACATTCTATAGTTTCCGCTCTTGCATGCAAGCCTGGGATCCTTTTAGAGTTAATTTTTACCAACGGTGTGAAGTAAGCCGTCCAACTTCCTTCTTCCACTTGTTGTCCCAGCATCCTTTGTTGAAAAGACCACCACCCTATGTCTACATACACACACATCACTTAATGACTTTGGCATCTGCATAACATCTCGAGAGTAAATGAGTCCCGCTTTTGGAGAATACGTGTTACAACGTCAAATCTGTCTCCAAGGTGGAGGCCCGAAAGAGATTGGACATTCTCGGTCATTTTTCTTTCTCTCTGAGGGAAATGTGGAGAATGAGTCTGAACAGCCGTGTGTTCCTGGTTCCCTTCCGTGAGGGGCCGAGGTAACAGTACCAAAGGAGAAAGTTATCATTCCCGACCTTCTTTCTTACAGGACGTCATTTCACACAGCAAGAAGCTGGATAAGAAAAAAGGAGGAGAAATGCAAATATTGAATAGCACTGACAACCAGGGAATCAAAAGTTTGAGTAAGGAAAGGAGAAAAACACTAGAAACATACCAGCAACTGTTTTACCTTTTGCAGGTAAGAGCTGTTTATTTTTCTCCATGAGTTTGTGATAATCCTGTATTCCGTGTTTGTGATAAAGGCTGAATTTGTTTCCCTCCCTGCTTCACCTGTTACAGCTGATGTGTTTTGCGCCCTTAGTAAGGGCTCACGTGTCCAGTGCTAAGCTAAGTGCTTTACATGCATGATCTCATTTCCTCGTACGACAGCCGTGAGAGCACAGCCCTGTCGTTACTCCCATTTCACAGCGGCGGAGACCGAGGTGCCAGGAGAAATTGGCATAACAGGGACGTAGAGACTCGGGCAGTTTGCCTTGAGAGCCCTTGCGCTTCTCCACACTGCGTCGTTCTGTAGCGAGCAGGCTGCAGAAACACTCCAGAGCCAGTAATGACAGAAGCAGAGGCTGCCAACGTGGAAACCTTCAGGGCTGCCCACTGGCTCGTTCTTGGCCAGTGAGGGGAAACCAGACGAGACCCTGGGTTCTAAACCTGTGGCGATCCAGAATGCTCCCTGGAACAGGAAAGCTGACAGATCGGAGGCCGGGCGTGGGCAACTCGGAAGAGTTGTAGGTGGTCCCTTAGGAGCCTGATCCATGGCTCTGGAACATGGCCAGATCCGAGGAGGGCAGCCACATCAAAGCAGCCCCCACAGCCGCCATCTCTGAGCTGAGCCGAGTGACCTTTGACTCCGCTCATCGAGGGATTTGGGTGCTTGCTGTACAAGGTGCACAATGCCCGGTCACACACACTTTAAAAATCTGCGTCTATCTGGTCTTAATGTTGTCAGGCATGACCAACCAGTTAAAAACCATGAAAAAAATTAAACCACATGTGGGAAATATATATATATATAATAAAAATTTTAAAATATATAATAAAAATAATAAAAATATATCTATATTTTATTTATATATATATATATATATTTTTTTTTTTTTTAACCACAGCAGTCTGTTCTGCTCTTTTGGGGTTGGGTTTAGGAAACCAACCTGCAATCTGAAAGATCAGCAGTTTGGAACCACCATAATCTTTATTCTTTTCATGGAATTACTATGATTTAAGAGAGTAGTTCTTTTCTGTTGCCTCTAGACCATTGGTGAGAACTCCTAAGTAAGTGGTTCTGATTGGACTTTAGTACCCAGTTACTGATCGGACCTTGATTGGCGCTGTCCACCTCACTAGCATATACAATCAAGTCATAAAGGAAACCGAAAAACAGTGATGGATAGAAACAAGTCTTCCCTTCTACAGGAGAGAAGCAGCCTCGGTAGCATAGTGGGTTGCACATTGAGCTGCTTGCTAACTGCAAGGTCAGCAGTTTGAACTCACCAATCTCTGGGGAAGAAAGCTGAGGTTTTCTGCTCGGTAAAAATGTAGTCTGAGAAACCCGCAGAGGCAGTCCCACTTTTTCCTCTATAGGGTCGCTCTATGCCTGAATCAACTCTGTGGAAGTGAGTTTGGGTTCACACTTGGGTCAGCAGGGACAGTCCTCCTCCCTTAGAGTCCGCTGTCCTTCTGTTTGTGGTCATCTCTCTGAGGCCTGGAGATGCCTGGGTCTTTGCCGAGAACATCACGGGACATGAAGTAAACACTGCAAGGGTTACCTGGATCAAAAACAAGCGTGTAGCTGAGATGTGGGGAGCCGAGCTGTTAGTTTGGGGGGAATTAGGAACTCCCCTCCTAGCCTGCTAGTAGATGAGAGACTGTGTTCTTCTGACCAGGGTGGTGCCACAGCTGGCCACTGTGTGGCAGCACAGAAGGGGAAATGTTAGCTCTCAAAATTATCTGTGGGATTGCCTAACGGGCAACTTCCCTTCCAGAAGGCAAGGAGGCTGGCATTCACCACCCCGGTGGTCAACCACTCTGATAATACAGTCTGAGGCATCTCGTCCCTGTTGACATCTCTGAACTGCCAGGCAGCTGTAGCGCCTTTCGTTTTCTACTTTCGGGTTTTGACAGTATTTGTGTCGCAAGAAAGAACAAAATTTAGTCACTAGCCTATGAAGGGTATTGTTTCCCCTAATACATAACTGGCAGCTTAGTCATGTAAAAGCAAAGCAAGATAGCATGTACAGAAAAATTCCCCCATGTGTGACCATCCAAACTATCCCCAAATGGTCATCTCAGGGCATGACCATTCAGTATCCCGTTAAAGCTTTCTTTGAACTGTTAGGTATTTATGGTGACACGTTAGGCTATGGTCTGAAAGACCAGCAGTTCAAAACCACCAGCCGCTCCACAGGAAAAAGATGGGGGCTCTGCTCCCTTAAACGGTTACAGTCTCAGAGACCCCCTGGAAATGCCTCCCTTGTCCTACAGGGGCACTCTGTCAGCATCAACTCGATGGCAGTGAATTTGTTGTAAATTTCTTCTCTCTGCTTCTGAAACATGAGTCCAACTGCTTGAGGAAACTATAAACATGCCGATTCCTTTAACCCCTGGACTCAAAGTGATTTGGCAAGTACCCTGAGCCAGAGCAGCGGGGTCAGCCTTCAGGATCAGCCTCGAGTTCAAGTTCTTAGGTCACAGGAGGAGGAGGTGAGAGGCCTAGAGGCAGGAAGAGTGGGCTGCTTTGGCTTCAGGGTAAATTTTCCTCCTCATAATTCCCATGTGCTGCATGTGGGGAAAGAATTGTCACAAAGCTGCAAGGGAGAAGTACTCTTGGCGTCTTATTTGTGAAAATCAACCAATCACTTGTAAGTCTGGAACAGTAAGCTGAGCAGTGAAGTCAAGCATAAGGTGCGTTTTCTTAAAGACTTGAAAGCCCAACTGTGGGAGTCTTCTGGCTGAACACCAGTCTCTATGGATAGAAAAATTGTAAGGTTATTATATTTCTCTGCTGGAATATCTTCCCCTGTAACCTAATATCTTTTTCTTCTATCCTCCACTGGTTGGTGGAGCTAGTGGAGACAAAGCATATGAACCTCCAGGTAGTATATGGTATTACAGCTGTGGGATTCGTCATCACTGGTCCCTAGGGCTCAACATTTCTGCCACGCTTTTAAATTGCCTTTTTCTCCCTCTCTCTCACCTTGCCCCAATTTCTTCTGGCATTCCCCTTGTCAATTAGCGTGCTCTTCAAACTCCCTACTTCTCGTCACACCTGCTGACTCAGTCCCTCAAGAAAAATACGTCCATTCCTCTGTCTCCATCTTTGAATATAGCCTTTTTCTTCCTTGTCTGAGAAGGTGAGACCTGCTTCCATCTCCTCATCCACAGTTCTTCTAGACCAGTAGTTTTACTGGACCCCTGATCTAGTCTCAGGAGAAAGAGGAGGCTGTCTGTGCCTGTGAGAACGATTCATGGTCTTGGAAACCCCGAGGAGCAGTTAGATACAGGGCGACTGTGAGTCGAATCCAAGTCAATGACAGTAGTGAGTTTGGTCTGCTCTTACCAGCATCTTCTGACACCAAGTGCTGTCGGCTGCACTTCTCTTCTGTGTCTTTAAAATATGTGGCTTGAAAAGGTTGACAGTGAAAAGTTTATGTCGCCTAATTATATACTGCATTATATGTGCTGTCGTCGGACTCGCTGTCATCAAATCTATTCTGACCCACAGCAGCCCCGTCTAGGAGTTACAAGGCTGTCAATCATGGGAGCAGCAAGCCTCATCTTTCTTCCCCAGAGTGGCTGACAGGTTCGAACTGCGCACACTGTGGTTAGCAGCCCATCTCGTAACCCACTATGCTACCAGAGCTCCCAATATATGTCATATAGCAGGTACAGGATATTAAAGTCCTGTTGTAACTTTCTGTACCCTCCGCCAGCCGTTCCAATTCACAGTGACGCGGGAGCACAGAGTAGAACTGACCATGGGGTTTTTGAGGCTGTAATCTCTACAAACACTGACTTCCACGGCTGTCTTCCTGCATAGTAGCTAGCGGGTTTGAACCGCTTCCCTTTCGGTTAACACCCAAGTGCTTTAACCACTGTGCCACCAGGGTTCAATTAGCCTTCCTCGTATAATATAGTATTAATACTCCCTGATCCATTTAAAATCTTATTTTCTAGATTGCGTCTGTAGCTTTGTACTAAGTCATTGAAGAGTTGGGAATTGAGTAGTTTTTTCCGTTAGTAATATGTAAATGATCCTGTTGGTGAGGGGGTTTTGCTGGGATCCCTTCTGCCCTCCTGCCTTTCTGTTTCAGACCCATCCTTTGTACCTGGCCAAGCTGATCTTCCAGATGCCGCAGAACAGGTCGACCAAATTTATGGACACTGTCATTTTCACGCTGTATAACTATGCTTCTAACCAACGAGAAGAGTATCTGCTCCTCAAGCTTTTCAAAACGGCTCTGGAGGAAGAAATCAAGTAGGTATAAGTGCAGCCGAGTCAAATTGCCAGGGAATGGATTCTCTTTGTAACAGTGACCCCTGCTGATGGACGGAAGGAGAGCTAAGCCCGTTTTCACACACACTTTTTCACCCACCAGTGTTCCACAGCTTGGGGTTCAGTTAACTTTCTGTGTTGCATTTGTGCTACAACTGGAGGTCAAAAATACTTGGAAGTCAACAAAAATACGTGTCTTAAATTTCAGCTCCCCAGTTGTAACGGAGCTGTAGAGCGTGGTCCAGGAGCGTGGGAGTAAGAACAGGCATCTCTGCTGAGTAGTTGATCCTTTCTTGCTGGAAAAAGTGTGATTTGAACATTTTTTCATTCATTTTTGCTAAGTTGTTTTCTGATTCTGTTTCTATTAAGTGTCTGTGTGTATGTCCATAAGATAATGGTTGGTCCAAAAATCTGACAGATGTCCTTAGTCAGCTGGTTGGTTGATACCTTAAGCCATGCTAATTATATGGTCTCCTAAGCATCACTAGTCAGGCCCCTCTACCCTCAAAGTGTCTATAGAAGCCCGAGAAATGTGACGTGTGTCAACAGTAAAGCCGTGCCGTGAAATGCAGTGAGCACACACACGTGAACACGGTGCAGCAGGAAATCAAGGGGATGGGCTGAGGGACACAGATTCGATGGGAGAGGAGGTGCTTGGCCCGTGTCCTTGAAGAAAAGCTCTGAGCAACAAAAAAGAGCGTGATAATGAAGGGAACTGCGTGGACGAACGTACAAGGTATGTTTGAGAAGATGGCTGGTCTGGCCAGGAGCTGGCTGGATTCGTGATAGCAAGGGATGAAGATGGGAAGAGGTGGGGGTAAACCAGGAGCGACATTAAATACAGCCTCTGGACTTTAAATAGGCTCTCTGGACTTCCTGGGAGGCTGCAAAAAGATTTCTGAGGAAGGTATTGACGTGACCATGCTCTGCTTGGAAGACTGCGCTGCTGGCCACGAACAGGGTGTATTGGAGCTGCGTAGGTCTAAAGGCCCTTAAGGAGGGTGTGTAGACAACTGCAGCAAGCATGGCGTTATCTTCTTTCTTCATCACGTACGTTGTACGGCCACTCCGTTCAAGGTGCTCTGCTACATCCTGGGGCACACTGCCTCCTGGAAACACTTGCTAAGTTTAGGTCAGTTTACTGAAGAATCACTGCCGTCTGGTGAGGGAGACACTTTGCTCTCCTCCACTTAACAGATGAGAAAACAGACGTACGAAGGGAGACGTAATTTGCTCAAGGCTACCCTGAGGAAGGCTGAGAGCTGGAATTTAGCTCCCGTGTGACTTAGAGTGTCAGCCACTATCTAAAATGCTTTTCAAATCACTATCCTGTGCACCCAGGCAACCAGGAACTATAACATAATACCAAAATCTGTAACACATGATTCTGAGTCCATGTTTCCCAGGCAGTTGCCCTGCCATCTGCCGGCCATGCAAATTGGTCAGCCTTTGTAAAAACACGTGTAGACAGGGTCTGAGAATCTGCCAGCACGAAATCAAGCAACAGGACTTGAGTCACAGGAAAGCGTGAGAGCGGGCAGGCATCCAGATGGAGGGAGCCGTTGTCCACTGGCCCCAGAGGGCTCGCTCCATGTTGAGGCAGCAGGGATGGTGTGCGCGAAGAAGGCGGGGACCTGTAGACGGGAAAGCAAGTCATTCACGTTAGCAAATACACGTGGCACGTGCACAGGTGTCGGGGGAGCTTCCGTTGGTGTCAGGGGCCCGATGATGGAGAGCTTGTGCACATGTTGCTAAGGCCTTACTGCACCGGTATCTACATGAACAAACTCAGCATGAATCCCCTGGGTGACCACTGAGGGGCGGACGGTGGGTGGTAAAGTGGCAGGGCCACGGCAATCCTTTAGGACGGCGGGTTTTGGAACAGTTGAGAAGTGAACTGAGAGGTGAAAGGGCCGAGAGCAGAGACGGGTGCTGGTTAGGAGGCTGCTGCTCTCCAGGTGGGCTAATCCGATGGTCTGAATTGTCAGTAGATGACCAATGGGGGGCGGGGTAAGAGGAAGAGGGAATAGAGAGTTGGGCTGGTGAGGAAGGAGCTGGAAGACTGAACTGGGTCCCCAGAAAGTGCCTCTGAGTTCTGGCTCTGTCACCAAAGCACTTATAGCCCGCGAGGCACTATTTCACTTTAAGCCGGTTGCTTATCCAGGCATCCCACTGTTGGTGAGGAGAACCGCCTCTCATTATACGGAGCAGCGCTTGGCTCTAGAGGACTCAGACCCATAGAAACAGCCCGGGACTCGGTGGCGGAATAGCAATGTTGGGGATGGGGGAGGAAAACACTGTTCTGGAAAGAAAAACCCAAGAACACATTGTAACCTGCTGAAAATAGAAGCCAACGTACAAGCAAGGACAAGAGCCACAAAGCAGTGACCAGACATGCCTCCACCCTTCATCCTTCTGTCCCCTCTTCTGACACCCACCGTCTCTCCCAAAACACTCTCCTTCTCTGCTGGGTTCAATAAGGACTTGCCAAGGTCGCTCCACACTCATGACTATTGGGCTTCATTCAGGTGGGACGTTAACAGGTCCCCACAAGTCAGGATCAGAAACGTCATGGATACAGGCTTTTGCGTTCAGAAGGGTAAGGGAAAGGTGGGGTGGAAAGGGGGAACCGATCACAAGGATCTACATATAACCTCCTCCCAGGGGGACGGACAACAGAAAAGTGAGTGAAGGGAGACAGCGGTCTGTGTAAGACATGAAAAAATAATTATAAATGATCCGGGTTCATAAGGGAGGGAGAGAGGAGGGAATGAGGATCTGCTATCAAGGGCTCAAGTAGAAAGAAAATGTTTTGAAAATGGTGATGGCAACATATGTACAAATGTGCAAGTCCCCAGTAAAATGATTTTTAAAAGGAAGAAGAACTCTGAGCCACATGGTGTAGCCAGTGTGCATTGCAGGGGATGTGAATGGGCTTTAACGCACTGTGGGGCCTTCATTCATTTAGGGACTAGAAGGGATAGAATCCATGTGCGTTGGCTTCCAGCGTTGTTGGCTGGGGCCCATTTCCAGCCCATTCCTGCCTTCTAGGCTGAAATTCAGGCAAGTGAGGACTTACTGGTAGATCCTTGTGTTTTTGAGATTAAAAAAACATACCTTATACGTGACTTTATTTCTTTTCAATCATGCCAACCCCATTTTGAAATTCGGGGAGAAAAGCAGAGCCCCACAAAGCCTGTGGGGAGAGAATATACTTTCTTTAAAGCTCTTACCAGTGGAGACAAGCCACTTTGTTTGGGCTTGGTGTTTTTCAGATCCAAGGTGGACCAGGTGCAGGAAATAGTCACTGGAAACCCGACGGTCATCAAGATGGTCGTCAGCTTCAACAGAGGTGCCCGTGGGCAGAACACCCTGCGCCAACTGCTGGCCCCCGTGGTGAAGGAGATCATCAATGACAAATCCCTGATCATCAACACGAGCCCAGTAGAGGTGTACAAGGCTTGGGTGAACCAGCTAGAAACACAGACTGGAGAGGCCAGGTAACTCAGCAAAGAAAATCTTAGCTTTGGGTCGTGTTTTATAATCATTTCACATGTATGTTTTTCATATACGAGGTGTATCCCTCAAAAAATGGAATTTTCCCCCAAATCTACGTATTTAAATTTTTTTTGCAAAACAACCTTATTACCTT